ACCAGAAGATTACAGCGAGAGATGAGAATAAACGCGAAAAAAAGCTGCTCAGCTATGTGATACTATCTGGAGCATGATATTACGTCGTCAAAATTATTTTGCTATATGAAATTTCTGATAGTTACAAGAATTCATACAACACAGTTCTCCAAGGGATGTCCTAAGGACGTACCGAAGATGTTCCTCGAAGAACTATGTTATGTGCGAACGTTTGAGACGTCTTGCTTGATTTCAAAGAGGACTCACATAGAATCCTATCTAGTATCTACCTACATACCAGATCTCGCAACGCGCGTGCCGTTTGATTACGACGTCGGCAGTAAATCCGCAACACGGTAATTCCTCCTCTGGCAATTGTAGATAAAACTTGAATAAGTCATAGACTTAATTTAACCCGCAGCAACGGTTCAACGGTGGTCTGGAACCTTCCACGGAGATTTCTTAATTACGAGCAAGACCCTCTAAGACAAGAGAACGAGGATAGGGAGAGATAGGAAGAGAAAGTATACCAAAAGACGAAAGCGTAGAGCAAGGGAGAGAAAGAGACGGAAATTCTGCTGATGGCTGTATAGGGGAAAGGGTTCTCACGGCAACGAGATTTAAGAATCCTTCCTAAGGAAAAAGAATCGCCCCCGTCGCGAAGACAGATGATAAAGCATTTCTTTAGCGATACTTTGTCATTTTTATCATAATTATTTATGAGATAATTACTCCGCAACCGCACCCTGTGCGAGCTATACTTTCTTGCGTTTTAAAACGAGAAAAATACTTTATTAAGACACTTCGGAGATAATACCTTTCACAAGGTCCCGTAACAGATCTGCCCTCTTTCGTTCTATTCTTCTATTGCATACAGCAAGAGACAAAAGCAAAATATTTAAAACAGGAGAAAGATAGGAACATATTAAAAAATAGATACATTTATCATTAATCTTCTTTGTGGATGGGCGGTTCCGTTTGAAGCTGCCTAATTTTTTATTTTGTAAACTATTTGTTCGATTTTCAAAAAACTTGATCTATAATAATTTGATAACGCTTTATTCAAATACTGCAAGTCAAAAATAAAAAATTCAAAATAGTGGATCCAATGGCGGACACAATTTTTTAAAAATCTAATTGTTATTAAATTCGGTTTTAGAGAATTTTTTATTGCGAAGTGTCATCAAGTTTCGATTTAAAGCTTATCAGTGCTATACGCAAAGTAGTTAGAACTGATTTCTAAACTAATTTTAAATTCTGAATATACTATATATCTTGTGATTTTCTTTCATTGTTAAATTCATAATATTCAAATTATATCAAATATGAGTTATTTTTAATTATTTCTATAGGTCGCTATTGTTCCTACTTAATATGTTGTTAATTTAACATATCTATGGTAAATAGAAACAATTCATACAGTATCCGAATGTTAAACTATCCACATCTTAAATGAAACTGCAAATTCACTTTAAGATTGCGGACTCAATTTGAAATTCAATTTAACAGAATTTCATTACTGTCCATATTTGAAGAATTTAAGAATATTAACACACATCTTATGTATCTCACAAGACTCTTTCGATTTATTCTTTAATTGACTGCGATATTTAGCTTATATTTCTATGATAATGATATATCAGCTCGTTTTTTTGTAATTATTGATCGAAAAGCAAAGAATCGAAACACTTAATTGTTTTTTATGTTTTTATGATGTTATAAAGACGTTATATATGTACACACGAACAACCGGTATTGGTTCTGATAGGTATTTATATTTAGTTAGTTTATTTTCGTTAAAACAAGATTATATATATATTTTCCTATAGATACATTTTTTATTCTTTTTCTTTTTATAAAACAATATGCAGTTAAATAATTTAACTCAAGAAATTAATAAAATAATTAAATTTGACTCAAAGAAATTTAATTTATTATTTACTTAAAGGTTACCCTTTCAAATTCAGCGATACCAAGAATCTCCTAAAACCGAAAAAAATCAAATTCTTTTGAAATTTGAATTAAAAAATTCTGAAGCCGGAATCAAATTTTACGACTCTGAAAATCTTTAAAAAATAAAGTATTCTTTAGACTTTTTGCCAGAGAGCTCTTGTTCTCAAAGGGTTAATAAATTCTATTGCAATCTGTACCTACATTCCTGCATTTTATTTCTTCGAAATAAAATATCATAATTAAGATCAACGTCGCTTCGTTCATCGAGTCGCAACGAGGCATTCCGCGGCGCGGGATAATTGCTGAAAATGAAGGCTTAATTCGGCGCCGTGCGAAAGTTAGTATGATCAACTTACGGGCCGAAATCGTGGCGGGGAAGAGAGGATTCCGTCACGAGGGGTTGAGCCGCACGGTCTGCCGAATTTTAAGCCTGTATAATTTAACACCTTTACTGCAGAAACTAAGAGAAACTGAAGGGAAAGATGGAGAGAAGAAGGGGCAGGGGGACACACGTGTTCGCGAGGAACGACGAGACGACAACGAAGATCGAAAGACGACGAGGAAGCAGGATCGACAGGATAAGATGAAGATGGAATGATGAGAGGGAGATGAGGCGAAGGGAATGCAAAGTTCCAAGTTTTCAACGGCACTTACCTAGCCTAGTACACTCTCTGCCTCTCCCGGCGGTCCGTAACGGGTGCTTTGTACCACCAGCGTGCAGATATAGTCACCGGATAGAGATGGAGATGGATAAAGAATCGGTCGCGAGAAAGAGGGAACCGCCCAAGTTGAGTCGTGCCGTCCCTCCTCTTTGCCCGGACACCAAGATACAAATTCATTTCTCCGGCCTTTTGTTTTTGAAGTGGAGACTTAGACGGCACGTTATAGAGAGGAGAATGAGAAGAGAGAGAGAAACGTGAATTCGTTAGCATTGCCAACCCCTTAAGGGCGGGAAACCCGCCCGTTGGATTTTACGTGCCGCGTCGTGAATAATTGTTAAAATCAAATAACGAGGCTGCCAGAGTCGATTGATCGATCGAATTTATTCCTGGACTTTGTAAGGTGCTCTCTAATCGGATTATATTCTTCAGAATTACAAATTCGTCTTATGCATTCTGATATGCATTTAAGCACTTGATAAACGAGTTTCGAGAATAAATTGAACCTAATTCTTAACCGAGATGTGCTTCTTGCTCGGTTAAATGCAACTCGAAGAGAATTAGTAGAATCCATAAAATTTATCCAATTTAGATTAAATATGTACGTTATATCAAATATGATCGTTATATTAAATATGATCGTTATATCAAAAATATCAAAATCAATTTTGGTAAACGATATGATGCATGTTTTATTTATAATCATGTGTCAGGATCAGTGACGTGATTAAATTAACGAGTTACATTTCTAATAATTAATGCTCCCTAATAATTAATCTCCAAAAGAGTGAATATATGAAACTTACAATTTATTCCAGTATTAATTTTTGTTTAATCTTTCATTTTGCGCATTGTCTCGAATAAGTCCATGACGACTTTTCGGATAAAAAAAACTGTCTCGTTTTAGATATTTTTAATTATTATTGTAATCACATATTTTCCGATGAAGATTATCCGTCGAGCTAAATTGAAAATCGTCTACGTTTTTCAGACAACAGTCGCGATTATTTACAGCAATATTGTTTAACAATAATCATGGTTAATTAAATCTTCTTTCTGAATCTATGTTACAGCTAGAGTTTAGTTATTTACAATCTAGACAAGGACACGAATCAATAACCAGAATTTGTTAACTAAGGCGGTCCGCGCGATTCACCTTTAGTGGTACGGTATCACACGCATTGATATAAATCACATAGATTACAACTCAGGGTTGGTCGGCAAAATCCAGTGGTTGGAAAAAGCCATGATAAATTCCGGATTTCACTGTCCTGGACTTTAAATGGAATAAATTGGCAAAAATTATAAAAATGATTAATATGTATCTAATATTAAAATATATTCGTATACTTTATGCAAAAAGATATTTTTGCTTTAATTAATAAATCATATATTTTACTATTAATTATAATAGTTTAAAGAACGGAACAAACCATGGCTACATTCAGTAGAAAAAGTATAGCTTTACAGCCGTCGTAAAAGTCTTTAATATGATTGGTTAATTATACATTTATATCTAGTGAAGAATTAAGGGAAAATTCATATTAATAATATTAAACTAATCATATTAAAGAATTTTTACAATAGTTGCAAAGCTACTTTTCTGCTGAACGCAGCCAGTAATAACAAAACATTTTATAATAAAGTCTTTTTAACTCAATTAATAACATCTTATAATTAGAGTCTTTTTAACTCAAATTAATTTTTAAAACAAAATCTTTGGAAATAATATAAATATTATAAAATTTTATAATTTTTAGTTTCACAAGAAGAACATAATAGTAACAAAATAAAAAATTATTACCAATGTAAATCTAGTTCGTGTTCAATATTCAATATCTTATAAAAACTAATTTATTTGTTACGTCAATTCCTAATTTACAGATTTTATTTGTGATGAAGCTTTCTTAAATTCAAAAGCATTTTCAGTTGACGATGAACTAGAATAATAACAGAATACTGAATTAGAATATTGATAACAAATTTTTCTATTTATTTTATTGCTTTTAATAAAAAAAGACCAGTTTTTGTCGGTTTTTTCCAGAAAATATCGGTTTTTACTACTGATGTGGACTTTACTCAACAAATGTGGAATTTTGCCAACCCTATTACAACTAGTTGACAAGAAAACTTTAAACAAAAGAAAGCGTGTACGTAAATAGAAAACATTTCATATACATATATATAAATTGCTAGAGAAATACAAATGCGCTGCTTCGATCCGTGTTTCCGCTGTTCGCAACGATATTCTACGGCACTCTTTACGAAGGACATGATGTCCCCGGTTACACATAAATTTTCCGCTAAGTCGAGATCGTCGATCGATCCAAATTGAAAGAGAAAAACCGACCACCGAACACCTGTACTGCAACGGCCCGTAATTCTCACGCGTCTTCTTTTATCTTGCAGAACGCAGCGGGTGGACCTCAGCGACAGGCGAACGGGGAAGCGGCGGCCCATAACCACAACGGATATCCAGCACCAACCAGCTCGAGCGCCCATAACGTCCTGAACCCCATGAATAATTTAAACGGTATCAATGCGCAAGCATCGTACGATGCCAAATGACAAACGAAGTAAGCGCCGATATATCGATTGAGTCACCCGAGGGTAGGTCGACTCGTGTGCTGTTCTCATTGTCTTCGTGGTTTACCGTGCTGATCGTCCGAACTATCGTCCTAACTTTAGCACGCGACCCACGGCAGATTGCATATAATCGAATATCCCTTAACTGTCGAGAAGAAAATGATACCGTTAAGTTATCGCGAACAAGAAAAATGTTACCGCGTATAGATATGTATTATATAATCGCATTAAACGATTCGCTTCGTGTCGCGATCGGAGATCGATCGGGCGAACTTTGTGTAAATAGAAGGCAACTATAAAAAGTATGATAGAGTGTTGCAGACAACACAAGTAAGCGGCGTAGGAGAATTTAAATATCTGATAAAATATGAAATGATTAACAAATATCATCGCATTAATAAAAAAAAGTGATACATCTCATCAAAATTAGCAGCTTTTCAAAGCATTAATATGTATAATTTCACTTTCTTTCCTTGTGTTATATAATATTTTCAATTATAATGAAATCTTTAACTTATGAGTTTTAAAAACTTATGAGTTTTCAAAATTTAAACACTGCAACCCTACACTAAGTACAAAAACAGTTACATTTGTTATAAATTATAGTTAACTTATAAATCTAATAATTGCAATTATTTTTACAGTAATAATAATTATGATTTATAGTCATTTCGATGCCAACTATATACTTTCTAAATTCTTTACAATGAAATCTCACTCTAAAGAGTCTAAAGAGTGAAAATTGAGTCTATCTTTAAAAAGAGTGACTCAATTTTCAATTTTCAAAAGTGAGATTTCACTCTTTTTGTTAGAGTTTAGAGTGAGATTTCACTCTAAAAATTTTAGAGAATATATATTTCTTGATAGAATATACATAGTCATCATTACTAATATTATAACAAGTTATAATCACGGTAACAATTATAGTTACAAATATCAAAAATTCTGCTCTCACAATCAGTATAACATAGGATTGTGTCATCCTCCATCAAAATTGTGATGCTTTTTCATAGAATGTGTCGATAAATGTATAATTTTTCCACAAAATGTATTAGTCTTTAAGATTGATTTCTTTTCATTATCTCAAAAACTATTATAATGTTTTTACTTGTATCACTTTTCTATCAACGTGGCGAAATATCGTAATGTTCCATCTTTGAAATTTCCCAATAAATGACAAGATTGTCTCAACGCTGTTATTTCTCCTACGCTATCTTAGATATCGTTTGGCGAATTCGTATTTCCTGGACGAATTATTATGCCGTCTTCTCGAATAGATTCTCTCCAATATAAGATAGAATGTGAGGGAAGAATATATAAATCCAAAATGCGTCTTTCGTTCTTGTATTTCATTAGATTCATGTATCCGAACGAATTCGTCTTCCCCGCACTCGACTGGCTAGACGATAAATAAATAAGTAGATAGTTAAATAGATAAGTAGGTAGATAGATAGCTAACGGAACGTATATCGGCCAATTGTGGCGAACTATTGGTGCTCTTTAGATTGTAATTAATCGAATTTGCATGATTTAATTCAGACTGCTAAAGCGTATCGCTAAAAGTCCGAAAAAAAATGAAACTTGTGTGGAAAACGGGCTAGAAAAGCATTTTCATCGCGATCCTTCCTGAATTTATCCGTTTTCAATCCTACGGCAAACGCATCGACTTCCGGTGCAAGATATCTTCAACAGTTGACGTGTCATGAATCGAAACCCTAAACTTCGGGACAGTAAATAAAGTTCGTTGTCGCGTATTTAACGTTCGCCTCGCCGAGAGGGGAGTATCGGCGAAGAGATACACAGGCTAACCCTCGGAGGGCCCTGGTCCAGCTGGACGAGCATCGAGAACGAGATCGAATCGACGGGTTTCAAGAAAGCGACGCAGTACTGCAGCCAGCAGTGGCAACTGCCTCACCAGCTCGCCACCCCATGGGGCTCATACGTTAGGGGTGACTTAAGCATTGTTTCAACTTCGAATCTCCCGGCAGAGGGCCAGATTGATGTCGCGAACTTTTCCGCTGCCTTATTTGCGAGTCAGATAACGAGACTGAGTTATGCCCAAAGTTCTCTCTTGATCTCTCTTACTCCGGCCTGGCTCGTGCTGATCGTATCGGATCACGAAGAATACTCGTAGTCGAAAAGGATGTTTTATTTCCTTCCTCTTTGGGGATTCGTCGTCGATGCCAAAAGTACCTACGTCGAACGATAATAAGCTAGCAGCTGCGTCGAGAAACTGCTAAGAACGAAAGAACTAATCCTTAAGAAATGCTTATATCTTCGCGGTTTTCACTCCGGCCGTAAGTAAGATAAAAGAACTTTGTTCCTTGCAATTGAAAGGGGGCAATAATTATTGTTGATTATTGACGGCAAGAGTTCAAGAAATAAATATTGCAGCTGTAGCTCTGCAAAACTAACTGGAGTTGATTATGAGTTTGTTATTAATAAATTATGTTACCAAATATTTTAGATTATATTATTTTCTTATGTTAATACGTAATTTTATGAGAATGTAGCAGTATATAAATAGCTTGGTTCCGCACTATTTTTATACCGCTTATTTGTTACAGCAACGACGTAACTAAAAAAATTATTATTCTTTTAGTTGCTTGCAGAAAATTAAAGAACAGAAATTTAACGACAAAAGAAAGAACATACTCTAAAAGAACATATTTTTATACTTTACAATCAATTATTACGCCAAATTTGCATTTCAAAACTAATATTACGAAAATTTAATGATTCAAAGCATTGAGATTCATTTTCTTTTGAGTTATGTCGTTGTTATAGCAAATGAGTGATATGTAACACTTTCTACATAGTTTCAAAATATGTTAAGAGATATGTGTATGTATATATATATATATTAAATGACCGGAACTTTTGGATTATTATAAATAATATTATATGTATCATAATGACGAGTGCCAATTTGTCAGTGATTCAGCGCACTTTCCTTCGCAAATAAAAGTATCATACAAGTACGCGTTTATTTCAATCTGCCAAAATTGATTTAGTAATCATCTCAAATTGTTAAGACGACAAAAGAGAACTATTATCGACTTGCAATTTATATTTTGATACTACAACCATGAGTCTCCATTCATCGAGCGCGTTAAAGTCGCTCGACTGATTGTGAGCCAGACGCGATTTCTTTCGACATTTAAACGTACTTCAATGACTGTAATAAATAATTCTTTCGTAAAATACATGGCGATTCCAGAATAATACCAGCATAGTTCCTAAACGCAAAGGGTCCTCGACGAAACGATTACGATCGCTAAAGACACATTTGCACTCCACTTGCGACTATCAAATGAACAAGGTACAGCCAGTGCGAGCATCGGAGCCCTTTTGTACATTGTATCCTACAATATCGCTTTCTAAATCTCCCGCGTAAATCATGAACTATTATACATCCCAGTACTGATCGCACTTGGATCACGATGTACGAAAGAACTCAAAATCATTAATTAAGGAAGTGTATAACGTTCGCTAGTATGTAGATACGTTTTGTATTTATAGTTCTATCATAGAGGTATTAATAAATTTGTTTCGATGTTATGCAAAGCACTGCAGTTGTGATTTTGAATCACGGAGCGTTACCAGACAGGATGTTCACTGAAATCTTGTAAAAAATTCCCTGAGAATTCCTAAATTTTCCAGATTATCTTCGTTCAAAGTTCCAAGTAAGATTAAAGAATTTTTTAATGCAACGTTGAAATAAATTAAAATATAAGTAACGTAAAGACGAACTGATATTGTAAATTAATATGAAGACGATACATTGTATCTGCCGTTTCTTACAATTGGAGCTGCGAAAACTAAAGGGTAGTATAGAGAAGATTCTCATTTTACAATATCAATGGACAATGAGCTACTTTTTTTGCTGAATATTTTCTACTTTTACTCTGATTTTTTTAATAAAATCTCGCAAGACACATGAGAATGTACGCAGATGTATATGCTATAGATGACTTAATGCTAACCTGTCAAAATTAATAAAATTATTATTACTATTATTATTATATTGTTCCTTTCCTTCAAAAATGACACAACTAAAAAAATGTAATTTTTCAATTACTAGCATGAATGAGAGTTAGATTATTTTATCAATCGGCAAAAATAAACTAATTTAACTTCACAATCCGTCCGCTAAATAACACCTGTGTCGTTCTTAATTTTCAGGGATCATAATACCTTCAATAAGAGTAATATATTTTAAGTTGTGTCGCTTTTGTAAATAAAAAGAAATTTTCTACAAAGAGCATTTAAAGTTAGAATAACTTTGATGAAGTTTGAAAAAGAAATTATTTTATTTTAAATTCAGTCATTTTAATCGATTAAGATAAATATAAACTATTGGTGATATTTCGAGATACGTCACTTTTGATGCATTATTTCGGATTTGTTGTAATTTTAAAAAAATAGTTCTTTTGAGTTTAATAGTTTTTCGTGAAACAAAAATGAGAAAAATGATTTATTCATGTTTCCAAGAAAATATTCTTTTTATACCGACATTATTTGATTAGTCAATAATTTTCTGTTAAGTTGAAAAATAGTTTTTTCTGAAAAACTTAAGCTTTAGTTGTATCACTTTTAAAGTAAAGAGGCGATATATTTTGCATTATTAAGAAAAAAATGAAGAAATAATGTTTTCAGAAATAGAATTTAAATTAAGAGTGAAATTCCAAATATTTTTCTGAGTATCGATAATATTTCATTAAAATATCATGATTGTCAAAAATAAAAAAGAAATTCTCTGAAAATTCCTGGTTTTCCTAGATAGTAAATCTATGAGTCTAAACCAAAACCGGCTCACTTCATTTATCGTTTTTCCTTTCTTAAAGGTTTATGCTCTTGTTTCCATCGTGAACGCGCGATATTGATTCGACGACGTTGCGACGCGGGAATCAACACGCGGAATGACTTCGCCGCCTCGACAGCCACTCCCTTCTCTCCTTTTGCATCCGCCCGTTCGTATCTCCCTTGAATTATTTAAGGGCGCTACGTGATTGGCCGACAAATCCGGTTCGCCTCAATAATTTACCAATCATACGCGGTCTTTTGTGTTTTATACGCCGCGTTTCGAATAAATCGCATTGTGTATTCAGGAGAGCAGCGTCCAACTCTATTCGGGTGCGAACGCGAACCCTCTCCGCGTATCCGGCGTCGCGAAAAAAAAAAGGCGAAGTGAAGAAACGGAAGAGGAACCGACCGGAAAGATCGCGAAGGGGCCGATTCGCGCACGATTCGCACGAATTGACTCGAAATTCGGCTGAACATCGCGAATTTATGACGAAGCCACGAAGGAGAGCAATATCCCTCATCCCCCATAACGCT